ATTCCTTGCCTGCAGGTTTGTACTCACCTTGTAAACATCGTAAGACTCAATCCTGCTGTCAAAGCAGACGTACAGATTGTTGAGCATTTCAACAACTTGTAAGGGAGTACAGGAGGCAGCAATGCTTGTGAACCCCACGATGTCCGAGAAAAAGATAGTCACCTGTCACAGGGAGAAGGAAAATGTGAAGCTAAGGTCTCCAGGCAACGGTGGCAGAGCTGTTGAAGAGTTTGGGGATTTGTGAAATTCTGAGCAGGACAGCTTAAGGCACAGGCTGCATGTAAAACAGCATTGTGGAACTGAATAGATACAATCCTAAATTAACAAGCTCTGGCTCTGAATTGTTCTCTATTACTTTGACAGATGAAATTATGTTAATCTCCAAAGTTTATCACCTGTGCTTCTCTGAACACCTTGTGCTAGATGGGAGACTGAAAATCAAATGCTTCAAATCTTGCGAGCAGTGATCAACAGACTTCTTATACAAGTAGGGCCGGATTTTTCTGTTAAAGCCATTTAAACTGTGGTAGAGATCAAAACAAGGCATCTGAACAGGATGCGAAATAAAAATTCAACTGCTGTCTCTGCTCTTGTCGAATTAAAAAATATTAACTGGAGTTTGTTTCTCTTCAAATTATGTTTATCTTTGTTACAATCAAGTAATTTACAGAGAAATTAGCTTTTTTTAAAAATTAAATTTATAAAAGAAAGAACAACAGAAACCATAACAACTGAATTGAGGAAAGGAAATATGCATTATAGCTGTTGGCAAAGAATTAAGTGTTTCTTCTCTGTGCTGCCTGAACTTTGTCAGTATTTAAACTAAAATTGTTCTTTTATTCATCCTTGGTAATACCAATTAATCCAGCAGAGCCACTTTTTCACTGCCTGCCTTGGTTCAGCTACTTTTGATGTCATGACTACTGTGAATTATAATTAATTTTGCAATTACAGGTTGCTGTTTCAATAATGACACCTACAAATTAAATGCAAACATTTATTATTGTGTTTCACAACTGAAAGTAACGGACCGTCCAGGGGAAAAAGAGTGAGTAAAATTGCAATTACTTTAGCATGAGGATTTTGGCTGTGGGCTATGCAGCACAGCTGCTAAATTCAGCATTGACAGCAGCATGCATGCTCTGAGGCAGAGCTGCAAATAAATGGGTGCCTGGCCAAACTCTGCCCTTGTTTTTGTGTGGACGGGCTTTGTTACAGTTACACACTTGATGCTATGAGATCATCGTCCCTCTTATCCTTCTCTAAGTCCCGGGCTTTCTTTTCAGTTACATTTATGGAATTATACTGACAAGTACAGACAGGATTTGTCTTACATTGTTTTTTCATGATTCTTCCCATTTTATGAGGAACTCAGTTCTTGCTCTTGGGTACTCATGATCAAATGGCACTGGCTGGCTCTCATGAGTAGGCTCTTAAACCCAAAGACACCAACTTGCCAATATAGGATCTTTGACATCTAAAGCTACGCTTCTGGAAATTTCATCTCTTCTTCCTTCCCCATCAGCCAAAGTGCTTCACAGCACCTCGCACAGCTCTTTCCAAAACCCATCGTGAATATTTGGATTTCCATCCACGCTCAACTATGGGTACAAAAAAACAGGTTCCTCAAAATGGTGGCAAGGTAGGTGCTCTTTTAGGTGCATACTTTTCTATCCTTGGTGACAGCATCCTTTTTATTTGCTAACCTGATCATAGCTTTCTGCCTCAACTTTTTGGTATTTCCTTAGCTGCTTGGCCACAGATTTTGGTAGCATCTGGTGTAAGAGGTCCTCAGCTAGCCGCCTCTCCCTTTTCAAGTCCTCTGTCTTTTCCTTGAGGTTCCTGGCATAATTGTGTATCCAATCTGTCATTTGCTTGAAGGATGTCAGGATTATGGGGTAAATGAGGCAGGCTATCACTAACAGACCAATTTTAAGGCTCGTTGTGGACAGGATTTCTTTAGATTTCTTGATGAGCTTTTCCTGTCCCTTCTGCAGTAGGCAGCTCTGTACGTAATGCAGTCCTTCTACCAGGGCTTCAACAGACCCAAATTCATCTGAGCCCAGGAATGGGATGAAAAAAGAGATTTCTTCATAGTGGGTGAAATGAAGTGATAGATTGATATTATCCATGCAGCACTTACGTACACTCTCTGATGAGAAGATAGCATAGTTCAGAATGGCAAAAAAATGATGCAGTGTTGGTTGAAAGCTTGTAGGTGCTGGCATTAAGTGAGCTTTAAGCATGGCTTCTCTTATTTGAAGGACGAGTTTAAAAGCTACTATGTCTGCCCAGTCAGGATTGTATTTCATAACTTTGAGGTCTTCTTGGGGACTACTAAAATGCTCCAGCAGTTCAGAGATTGCTCTGGATAGCACCTGGCTGGCTTCAGTATCCCCTGTGCTATTTAATTTTTCTCTCATGTCAGTGATGTAAAATCTACAAATGGAGATTTTTTCCTTCTTGCATTGGCAATTCTCACAATACAGTTCTGCTTCGCTTGCCTTACAGAGGGAGTTTAAATTCCCCAATAGCTGAGCATGAAATGATTTTTTCCTATTGTCTGCTGCTGGGAATAGCCATCTGTGCCTTTCTTCCTGCAGGAGATAGATGAAGCGAAGAGCCCAAAGGCTTTCACAGGAGGCAAGTTCCTGAAGGGCTTTCCCTGTGTTTCTCCATATTTCCAAGCTGTTGCCCAAATCAAAAGAAATGGCTCCAAGGAGGCTGCAGAAGGAGACCATGCATGCTGTCAAAATCCTTAGAACTGTTTTTCTGCCACCAGCACTGGAGCAGGGAGAACACCTAAAATAAGGAGAGGGGGGGAAAAAAAAAAAAGGAAAAGTGGGGGTGTCTGATCCCTGGGGTGTTTCTTGCAGCTCCTGAAAACATAACTGGAGCTAGTAGTGATATTTAGCAATTCACTTGTGTTCTGAAACAAAATACAGGGATCATGCATTAGATGAATGTTATTGAAAGACATATTTTACTATATTTTGTTCCACCTGACATTTTATTTTAAAAGAAAAGCTGTAGTAAAGAGACTGTTTCAATGACACACTCAGAGCTGCAAAAACATATGAATGAAATTGTACAGTTTTTCTTTGAGTATTAAGACTGATAAAATAATTTGCGGTAGACTTCATTCTCTGTGGCACTTCTATCCAGATCTTAAAGAAGCCCATAAAAAGATGTGTTACTTATTTCAGTGATCACAAACTGGAACTGTTCAATTTTTTTAATCAAACTTTTAGAATTTGTTCTTAATAGGAATTTCCAGATGATTAATAATTTGTGTTGATATGTTCAAATGAGCTCAGATGTTTCCACAATACTGTCTAAATATTTTGAATGGAAAATTAATCAAACTTCAGTTTTATTTCAGTTTTCACAGAAGCATATACACATCCAATTTTTACTGTTTGAGCTTCATGATTACCTTCTCTGTCCTTCTCTTTCATGTTGCACATAATTGACATCCATGCTCCATACAGCAAAGTAACCTCTAACGATTTTCATTTTCAGAACTATTAACAATCATTTACAATTTTACATTAATGATACTCATAAAAACAACTCGGGGATATTCTGCTGAAGCTGGTGATTCCTGAATAACTGGGCAATCTGTATTTTCACTGACAAAGAACAAACCAGGGGACTGGGTTGCTGATCAGTCCATTCAGCTCAGTCCTTTTTTTTTTTTTTGTCTTTTTTCTGTTCCTCAACATAGTAGAGGTGATTGAAAAAAGTCTTCCTCAGATCCCCTGCTCTTTCAGATAGCTGAAATTACATTTTTAATAAAACAAATAAAGCCCCAATAATGCTATTTCTCAGCAGAGGCTGATACTGGGCAAAACGAGTTCCTGCTGGGCTCTTTGCAGCAGAATGGTGGTCAAAGTAGAAGAAAAGTAATAAAAGTACAGTCCCCAAAGATGCTAAACATCCATGTTTTATTTAATACAATTTATGTTTAATAATAGATATACTTATTTATTTTCAATCCAAAAGTAACAACTGCAAAATGTCTGACTGAAAGGAACCGCAAATCTAGAAAAACTTCTCTCTGAAGATGCATTTCTGTTCTCACAACGAACTTGCAATCTTTTCCTTAGTGTATCTGCTGCTTACCTTTGAGTCGCTTGTCCTTGGTTTTTAATCGGTTGTTTTACTTTTGAATCCAGCAAAATATGTGCCAGGAGGCAGAAGAAAAACACAACAAAAATCCACCTTGATTTTATACTGCCTACCTTTTATTACAACAAAAGAAATATAAATCGGGGCTTTAATGTAATACCAGGCTAAAAGCTGGTGATTCTGCTTGTGCTTTGCAAAAAATCCCCATTTGTGTCTGTGTGTCAGCCAACGGTGACAGTTCAGAGGTCTTCACCTGGCATCTGAACGACTTAAAAACGACCAACGGGGATGTGAAGGAGATAGGTCTGCGGAGACCCTGCCAGCAGCCACTGCAGGATTTTACCCTTCTTGCTAAGTCCCAAGATCACAGGGTGTTAAAAACCTCTCTGTAAAAGCATTTTGCAGCACTCCCACACTCACCTGCATGGACCTGCTTGCGCCCGTGCTGCCTTCCTGCTGGGCATTGCCACTGCTTGCTCTGGCGAGTCCCACTTGCAGACCTGGGGGTCCTGGCAGCTGCCTGCCTGCTGCCTTCAGCCCTGCCAGCGCCTCGCTTTCTCACCCCTTACCCCCCAGATTTGTTCCATGGCTCTCTACCTCTTCCTACTGCCCAGCCTCTTCACAGCAGGCTCACGTCTTCCCCTAGGTGAGGGTAGCAAGCTCCAGCCCAAGGCAGGGGAGAGGCTGTAAAAGGTCTCCAGCATTATCATGAAATACAGACTGCGGTCCTGACAATACCCAGGAAGAAGTGACAGGGACACGTGTTTTTCTTTAATCTTGCGAAAAATAGTGTTTATTGCAGTATGGCTAGGTATAATACTTGTGGTGTTAAAAGCATCATTTCCCAGCTCTTCATGACCGAAGGCATCATGATTATGACTTTATTCAGACTGTTTTCCTTCCTGGTGTCTATTATCCAGTTCTCTTTAGATTAGTTGGTTGCCATAACCTACAAAAATGTAAAACAAGTGAAAAATCAGATCATGAGACACAGGAATTTCTGAATAGTATATATTGCATCCAAGATGCAGAATTTAAATAACTGAAATAATTGGTTTTGCTTCTCAGTCACTTTTTAGATTAAAGCTTATATTAAATTTAAAAATAATTGATGTTCCAGACCTGAGCAGCATGCTCTGCCTTCCAGGATCAATTGCAACAATCAGTTACTGATGAATACAAATTTGAGTAATCAGCTCTGAAGTCATACCAGTAAAATCTTTATGACTATAAATATAGGTCTAGTATAAAGGGAGAATGCATTCCTAAACATTGAGACTTTTATTTAAAAGTGGAAATAATTTGGATAACTATTTAAGAAGAGGTTACTTTATTTTTGCTCCAGAGACTGCTTTTGTACTGGTAGGGGCTTGTCTACAGAGGTTACTTCTATGTGAAGTAGCATTTGAATCAAAGGTGATACAGCTCCCTGAGTAGGTGGCAGAAACATCAACTGGAGAGAAGCTCAGAAACAGCAAAGTGTCTGTGTTCTCTAGCAGCAATACCTAGAACCTTACCTGCTGGATCCAGCTATTGTAAGCAGAGACCCGAGTGAAGACGGAAGGCTTGTGATAATAATTGCAGCCCAGAGCAGAGCCGAAGCTGACGATACCATGCACTTCCCACCTGCCATCAGCAGCTTGGCAGTTCAGTGGGCCACCAGAGTCCCCCTGGGAGGAAAGGAGAATGCAGTTAATGGCAGTCATAGTGTCAATAGCTCCTCCTAGCTTTTTTTTAAGCTTTCCTTCCCATCAGACCTGTTTGTGTCTGAAGCCAAGCCCTGAGAGCTTCTCTGGACTTACGTTACAACTGGAGATGACTCCATCCCCACCAGCACAAACCATGGTGGGTTTCACTGTCTTTCCCCACCAGCTAGGCTCGGAACAAGTTTTATAATCCACCACCAGCAAAAGGCCTTGCTGCAGGTCATCTGGAAGGGCTCCGTTTGCTGGGAGGGAATAGAAACAAAGGAGTCATGGTACCAGCTGGTACTGAAGAAAAATCAAATCTGCATTGTTAAGTTTCTCCCAGGATCTGGGTACTATCCCTCCAGGTAAGAAATTTCATAGGGGCTGTATTAAAGGAGAAGCTGTATGATACATTTCTTAGCTCCATTCATTTATATATATATATTATATATAATATATATATAAAGGCCTTAACTTACTAATAATTTGTGATCCAGTTAAAAATGTCTTATTGTTAGAGAAATAAAGGGCTGCTCTTTATTCGGGAGTTTGCAATTTACTTATCGCTCTAGTAATTGCCTCTTGAGCTGAGCTGACACTTCTGCTGAAATCTCTGAGACTTTCTTTACATCTATTCCCTTAGGTCGTCTCTTCAGTTATTCAGTGGGGTATGTCAGGACTAGTAAATTCACTCGTCTGCACACTGTGTTAACATTTGTGTTACAATAGCTTCTAAAAGCTTAGTACATTGCCCTCTAGTGCATTACTAGCCCCATTACAAGCAAAATAAACAAAAGGCCGGGAAGAATCATACTGTGTAAGTGAAGTGGGCCCTGACAAACTACCTCACTACATTGAGGTTGAGGGGATCTTGAGCACCATCAACAGCTTTTTGCCAATCAGTCTCAAAGGAGAAGGCAGAACTGAAAGATTTTGTTCCACAGTGTTGCAAACATCCAAGTACTTACTCTGCAGTCTTCCCCATCCTGTCACATAGCAGGCCGTGTTGGATGGTAGGATGCTCTGTGCAGGGGGGAGGCAGGCCAGCTTAATGTGATCACTCAAGGTGACATGTTCAGTGAGTTTGATCAAAGCAATGTCATACCTGTGGTCACATGCACATATTTGAGGGTGGGGAAGAGAAAGGGAAGGGGTGAAGAGGTTTGCAAATAGATTAAGACACAGTAGCATGAATACTTAGCAGTTACACAGCGCTTGGCCTATTCAAAACAGATGCAAGGGAGGCAAGGAGGCCAGTACCTAAGCAATAAAGATTCCTCCACCCTCAAAACAGTGAGGAAATCCATGGACTGGAAGACTATTCCCTGCAGAACTGCTGGCAGCTTTCTGGAAACTGCCTTTTATAGGTTCTTTTCACCAAAACCAAGCATGTGTTAGTCCTAACTCCAAGGACCTAGAAACCGAGGGGATTTCTTTGCTAATGCCCTTAGCCTGCAGCAGAACATAGGAGTCCATCAGCAACAAAGATATTAATACCATTGTTTAGTAATACTCTGTGTTTATGCCATTTGTAGGAGGGCTTCAAAGAGTGTTGTATAAATTAATTCACTTCCTTCCACTGTACGGAAGAAATCATTGCATAGAACAGCTTCCCACCCAAGCATAAGCATGCAAAGCAGCATCTGAAAACACAATCAATAAGCAATTAATATTGAAAGTTTTTTATCCTCTGTCGCGGAGGAAAGTTGTAAACTGGAGACTCAACTCTCATCTATGAGCAAACATTCAGAAGTACCTCTGCAAGCTGTAACAGGAGGTTCTAAATGTTTATGCATATAGCTGCCACAACTCAGAGCAGGTGGGATTCAAGCAGTTTGATTTTTGCCCTGTATGTAATAACTGAAAAAATACTTGCCACCAACTTACCCATTTGCAACATTCTGTGGATCCCAGTTCTCATTGACAATGATTTTTTCTGGAGGAAGTGCAATCGAGCCTTCTTCCGCAGCTGCTAGGTTGTACTTTCCAAGGAAGACTCGATATGTCTTAGAAGAACTGGGCAAGAAAAGGACCGACACTCGGTTATGCAGCTGCTTGCTTGCTGCTTAGGCATCTGCATCTTTGCCACTTGAGACGTTCAGTAAGTATCCTTAAGACTGTAATCTCACATCACATGCATGATTTGTCTGGAACTGAACCAACGTCTGACTGATTTGCTAAGGACAAAGCATTGTGTGCTCGCCTTAATAATCATTTCATCTCCAAGCTGTCCTGTCAACTCCTGCTTAAGGCTTCATTAACAGACTCAAGATGCTTCCAATCTTTGCAGTATTCAGCTTGTATTCGTCGAGAAATTAAACAATTTGGGCTGCTTTTTGATGTTGATAAACAGCTTCACTGATAGCTATATAGATATAGATAGCTATATATATGATAGATATAATATATAGGATTTATAATAACATGCAGCCAATCCTTCTTATTTCATATTATGATATTTTTTACAACTTAGTGTTACAATAACCAAGAAATGCATGTACGTATTCAAGGTCATATGCTACCAAACCAAAATAGGGTTGTCTTTGTGGAAACAGTTTTGTTGATGAACGGGCATAGCTGTACCTGATCATTTCTGTGTTCTACTGCCCCAGAATGCGAAGAGCTTACTGAAAATGACTGGTATATTCAAAGCATTTGTGATTGTCTCTTCAGGGAGTGGATTGATTAGGTAATCTGTGGATCTCACTGCCACATATATTACAGAATCAAGCAACACATGTGAATTTTAATAGCAACTTGAAAACATAATGACGTTTGTAGTTATTTACAGAAAATAAAGAGTATATAATTCAAGTAATTCTATGACGGTTTTTTTCCCCCTCTACTTTTATTTTAAGAAAATGAAAAGGTGTCATTCTTCTTCTGACCTGTTAATTATAATCAAAAGATATGATGTGAAACTTGGAGTTTTTAACTGGGAAAGGGAGAATTGGCATTAGTACAGTTTTGCTTCACCTGTCTCTGGTCATGCACTGCTTCCTGGGTACAGACTTTAACTCTGTTATTTACCTGATGCAGTGTGCGGCTGTCATCACCCAGTTGGTTGCAATGAGGGTTCCTCCGCAGGTGTGACGCCATTTGCCCTTTGAATGGTACTGAAGGGAGGCCTAGGATCAACATATCAAGTAAGGCTTGGGTTTTGGCTTACTGATTTTTCATTGTTGCGCTTTCTTCCTGCACCTAGAACAGAACTTGCTGCTGGAAGATGGTGGGAGGCTTTTAAGCAATAAGTCTCCAACTCCTGGCCATAGAAGAGGTTTCGCTTTTTCCCTATTGTCCAAAAGCTTGATGGCTTGATTTTTTTTAATGTTGTTTCTTCCGAAGTCCTCTCTAAGCCTGGCCCAAATAGAGCATTTAATTTGCTTTAGAAATGTATTTTTTAACTCCATGTGCAATTATGCTCCAGTAGGCATTGTATGCTCTGCTGAATTTCAGTTGTCTTGCTTAAATATGAGATGGTGCCCAAGACTATGGAAAGAACATGAAAGCCTGCATAACCACCAAGAGGCGGCACATTCAGAGCTTTCTTAAAAAGATTGGAAACTTTGGGATTGATCAGAATGTAATATTCAAAACCTAAGACAAGACAGGCAAGATGCGTCATATAAAATGTAAGACCTGTTTTTGTTCAGCCCTATTGTGTGAGGGTAGCACAACCCTAATTGTTCTGGGGAAGGCACAAAATGACTTACCTGCCAGGGCCAGCTGTAAGGTCTTGCGTTTTCCCCTCCAACAACTCTAGACACAGCGGGAGGGTAGGCAGGGACCCCGCAGCCAAAGGCTGGAAGACATACAAAATAGGGTGTGTGTTTTAAAAGTGGGAGGTTTAAAGAAATGTCTGTAAGAGAGCGGGGGTTTTTTTTAAATATTGACTGTGTGTGTACAGAGCACTGCAAGGTACAAATATAGGCTGTGATTTAATGTGATACAACTGAAGACACAGCCATCAGTCAAAACCAGCCAATGTTATATAAAGCCTGCTTCATTTTTCAGTTTCATTTTTCTGACAGATAATCACATCAAGCTGGCTTAACCAAATTCTCATGTTTCAGCTGAAATGCAGCTCATAGCCAATGCAACAATTTGATGTGGATTAACTGTATTCCCATGTATTCAAGCTAAGTAAAATAGGCTGAGAGCAGTAATGCTAATCAAACCCCTGTAATAAGAACAGAATAGCACAGCATCTAGTTACTGTTTTGAGAGCTTTTTTAACTGCCTATGCTGTACCTGTTTCTGCTTTGTTGCAGAATGTCTAATTTCCCTAAAAAAAGGAACGTTGCCGTTAGATTTTAATTTTTCTTTTAAAACTAATGCTGAAATTGGGTACGTACCTGCAGCTGCCAGAGTCAACACAGCAAAGAGGATTCCAAGCATGATGCCGGTCAGCAGTATGCTGCAGGCTCTGCTTTGCAAGCCATTTTATATGTTATTGCTTATCTCTGGGACACATGACTCAAAATGCAGTGCTATTCTGATACCAATGGAAAACTTGTGTAATTGTGGGATAATTTTTCATATGCACAACTGCCTAAAAAACCCAGTTTAGATGGACCTTGGATCCCAGCTATATAACTTGGTTAAAAAAAAAATTCCAACTGAGTTGCGTATTGCCTGTAGCAGCTGTTTGCTTTCCCATTGCCTTGAAAGTTCATCACAAAGGTGTTATCAGAGGGAAAATGTTAAATTAATTATTCTAACACTTGATGGTATGTCAGCGGTGACCCTGTCGGATATAATCAGACAGTGAGAGATTCAGACATGTCAGCAGGGTTGAATTAGACAGTCTCTGGAGGCCCTCTTCCAACCTTAATTATTGTATGATTCTATGACTGATTGAAATTTTATTTTGTTCTGGTTTGTTTTGTGACTGGTGGCAACTACCACTTTGTACTGATTGAAAACTTGTATCTTCTTTTCTAGTTCAAGTTGCATGTGTTCTAGCATGCCATACTTCTTCAGTAAAACAAACTGTAATCACTTTGAAGTGGAGGATGTTTCAAGCAATGCAAACAACCAGCTGTCCATGATGATGGAGAAACACTGGTGTAACACGGTGAGCCAGACTTCATTTCTTTCCTATTTACCTTTAATTGTTAGATCAGTAGCACATCCCTGGAAGAGAACAGGGTTCCTGTAGCATTGCAAATGAGCATTTTTACACCCCAAATCAGCATGCTGGCGTGTGGTATAATGCAGTGTGAGCTTGTTAATGAAAAAGGGTAAAACATTTTCACCAATAGGACAAACCAGGCAGACGTTTAGACCACTACAGAGCTGCTGCCACAAAAGAAAGTGTCCTAATTCATTACTGGACATTTGAGATCAATGACTTGACATCAACACTTGCCCTTGTGTGTCTTTCTTTTTTTTTTGTTCTACTATGGGAATTTTCCATCCTCTGCCACGTTTCCATCCACCTGAAAAACTGCTACTGGTTATTTAAAAAGCAAACATCTCTATCCCATAAGCCAGGTCCTGCATAGGGAGCAAACTTACTAGAATGGAAACAAATATCATAATGCCAGTTTTGTAACCAGAGTTGCATTGTACATACAGACGAAACTAAAGGTTTCAGAAAAGCTGAAATAAACCTGTTGTCTAATGTCAGTAATAACAAGCAGCAAAATCCCCGATTTTCATAGCTTCCATTCAACAGTAGGTACTGATTTGGACAAAAAACGCCTGGAGCACACATGTGGAAGGCGGAAATACATAATGCTTTGCTGTTTTGTCTGCTTCTCAAGAATGTATTATCCTACCCAAACAATAGCACTTGAGAAAGCTGCATTCTGAATTTCTGTTCTGGCATCTTGTATTTATTATCTCACAAAAGCATACATTGGGATTAACTGAGTGCAGAATTGAGGTTCAAAATTTTTTTTTCATTAACTAGTTGGCTCTCTTCTTCATGTCTGAATTTACAAGCTAAACAACATACTACACATCTCAGTTTAACTTCCATGCCACTATCATTTTCATTAACATCAACTAGAAATGAAGTATAAAGTTTTGATGTTTAGTTACTGTTTTAACTTTCCCATTTGATGGGTCTGCTTGTCAACATGGAATTTTGTTCAGTTTTGTAAGCATTTCTGCAATCATTTCATAAATAACCTTCTGCTATCTTGCAGACTGCAGAGGAACCCTTTTTTTTTTTAAAGGAATTCTGAAACAGTTTTTCTATTATATGGAGGAAGGCTCATAAGAATCATAATATTTTTAATGTAAAAACACTCTCAAGGTTTTGCTTTTTTTTTTGTTTTGTTCCACTCCTGCTTTCTGTTAATGATGGCTTATCCATCTTTTCTAGGTCTAGTCTAAATAGGCCGACGGATCTTCCTTGGACTCTGTGGGCATCATACTGTTGGCAGTTCTGCAAGTGAACATCAAAAGGCTCAGCCTCCAGCTGATACCACGGTGGCTTGGAAACAGCTCCCTAGAAGCTCTTACCGTCTTTGTGCCAGATGTTTCACAGAAACTAAGCAGCTCACGGAACTTCAGTGAGAAAGAACAGGAACTTCTGGTATGTTCTGTTCAAGTGTAACAGCCAATATCTCTTTGAATACACAATGTACTTAGTGTACAATTTATAACGTACTCCATTGCTTCACTATCTTTGGTCTGTTCCCTTGCAGGGCAGTAACTATGCTAGACCAATTAATAAGTGGAATGGTCAGCAGCTAAGTAACAGACACTGAAATCTACTTTTCTGAGGGAGGTTTTCCATCTGAAACTAGACAGCAACCTATTTAAAAATTCAAAGTTAAATCCTGCCCTAGCTTTTCATTGGGAGCAAATATACCAAATTCATTACTTGCTGGATTGCCATTAAATCTGCTACTTGATTGTTTCCTGGGTTCGTTTCTGTGTGTTCTTAAAACTAAAGCTTGGCCTGCATGCCTTAAGATAGAACAACGTTACACAGAGGCAGGGAAATGGAGATTAGAACCACCCTGTGTGTTTCAGTCTCTTATTGTGCCTTCCAAATTGTCTGTTCCCAGCTTAGACCCATGTATGTATTATTTTCCACACTGTATTTCCTTTTAATCCAAGCACTTTTGTAGTCAATACTGACCACAGATGTAACAGAGCTCTGCTTGTTTTAACTGGGTAGGGAGCAAGGGGAGGAGAGAACACAGACCAAAAAAAAAAAAAAAAAGAAAAAACCACCACACTTTGGTGATCAGATAAGACTGAAAGAGATTTATTTAGAAACAACAGCTTTGGTATTTTAAAACCAAACAACCTTTAAATCACTAGAAAGTGGGATGTCTCCCCCCACGGCCAAAACAAATCAATGCACTGCTTAGAATAGGAAACCTGCAGATCAGCATTTCCAAGTTTAAATCCAGAAAAAAATGTCATTAAATTGGTTTTGTACTCCACAATCACAAAGGCTGAAAAACCTGTTGCCAGCACTGATGTCTACAGTTCAGTTGACTGACTTGTTACTGAAGTGGAGGCAAAATTATTAACATCCTCCCCCCAAGCAATAAATTAAAAAAGGTATACCAGAAAGGAGGTGACACTCAAGTTTTCTAGTTAACTCTCTGAAGGGAACCATCATTCTTATCTTCCTGTAATGTTAAAAAACAAATCAAAATATCAAAGGACTTTGTATATCTTCAAGTACTTCCACCAAGTGGATTACTCTTAGGGAACTGAACAGCTTACAAGGAAAAAGAAACATCTGTTAGAGAAGCTTCTGGGATAAACTCTTGAATAACCACACCTTCCAAGTCTCAGATTCCTCTCGTTAACAAGGCACAAAAGGATTGTTGCTTTCAAAAGGTCCTTGTTCTCAGCTGCAAAATTATCAGATGTCTTGTGCAAATGGAGGCTGAAAGCAGGACTAAGTTCACTTGGACGCTGGGATGTTCCCATTCAATTAATGAAACAGGGTGTTATTTCAACACCATTAATCTTGCTTACTGCTACAGAGATTTTGAGCTCCAGCTGGCTTCCACTTCATCCCTGTTTCTGGAATCAAGTTCTGCATCATCTTCATTTTAAGTAGATCCAATTAAGATGAGGCAACAGACTTGTTTGCTGAATATTGCAATATTGCAAGGCTTTTTGCAGTGTCAAGAAGGAAGAGGTGTTATATCAGCCCTGGAGTGTAGCTGTGAAGCTTCCCGGCATTTCAGAGAATAGTGTCAGGGACAGTTACCTGCAGTAATGGTTAACAAGTCATTCTGTAAAAGGCAGAAGGCAAGTCTTGTAGATGACAAAGGCAACCAGACAGGCAGTAGTGAAAAAAGGACATAATTTTATGATTGCAAGGACACGTTTCAGGATGCATGTCAGGGTGCAGCTGTATACACAATAATTGAAACTACTTCCTGACTGCTTCCTCCTTTTGCACTAAGGTTTTGATCATGATCACTTAACTGCAGTTGTCTTTGATATACATACCTATTCTACTTCTTCGTAGGTTAGTTCGTCTAGCCACAAGCATCTCCCACTCTTTCTTTCAAGGGATGACAGGTACACAGACCTGCCTGGGATCAGGCATTATCTCCAGTGCTCAACGTGACAAAACCAGTGAGCTGAGAGGGAAATTGCCAACTGCCTTTAAACACCCCTTACATACTGTCAAGTGTAGTCCAGTACCTTCTGTCCAGCCTTAGCTATCCAAAACTGAATTCGCTTTTGTAATTTGGAAAAACAGGGCAATCTAAAGCTAGAACTTTTCCTCTGACAGCTCTATTTAACTATGTTCTTCTTCATTTCCTTTTTTTTTTTTTTTTTTTTTTAAACACAAGCTACATTTAACCCTGTTCAGCCCTCAGGAGGGATGCCTCTGAACCATATGGCTAGCTCACACATCACATCCAGTCTTGTCTTTCATTTCCACTCCTTATCAACACACAATCATAAAGCATCAGTACTAAGAACAGAAATCACCATCTATTGTCTATTCTGTGCTAAGCTTTTATTAGCAACTAAGTTTTCTAAGGCAACTCAAAACAAGAATTTCAAATCCTTTACACCAAAGTGAGATGCAGTGGAGCTTGAAGTCAGAACCTCCAACTCACAGTAAAAAGCACTCAGTACTTCCCTTAACAGAGCTATGTATTTTGTCTGAATGGGAGAAACACTAGCTCAGCACTTTCCCAAAATGGTGGTGGTAAATGTGGTTTGATGGAGAACTGCACAGTGTCTATAGATCTACGAACATTTACCAGTAGTCCCAACAAGTCAGCACCTTGACCTAAGAATACTGGCTTGCATTTGTGTGATTTTTGTATGACACATCACACATCCAAACCAGGTGGACAAGTGTGCACATCTCCCACACAGTAGTAAAGTATAACAGCTCTCTCACAAGTAGTCCGGTATCGCATAACAAGAAACATCATCTCATGACACAGCTGTAACTGTTGGTTTAAAAACAAGCAATGTCCTACACCAATGTGGGGAAAAAGGACAGAAGAGCTGTGTCTGCCTTGGTCTACAGCCTTACAAGTGTTTAAGGCCAGATGATGGATTTATCTTTTCTAATGTTCATGAGCCCTACCGCTCCAATCCCTGCCCTAATCCTACTTCTTGCAAGAAGAGGTCACAGATCGCTCGTTGCAAGAGAGACTGGAAATCCTCACGGTCCAAGACAGAACCTCCCTAGGCACAGCTGACAGAAAATAGGGTTGACAACACTGAGTGGACAGCAGCCAAAAGCAGCAGCCTTATACCTTACTCCTGAAGAGTGGCTTGGCTCCTGGCCCGCAATATTCGTTGTAGATGAGTTTGAACAGAAACAAGTGAAACAGTGTGATTAAGGAGGCCACGCTGAACCAGAACAGGAAGGGTAAGCCTGGGTATTGCTTGGCCATGTGTTCCTCATGAGCCAGAATAGCTTTTAAATGAAGTGTGTGTCTCAGGTCCTGCAAGTGGATCAAATCTGTTGATATATAAAGCAATGGTGTGATGGGTTGAGTCACCATGACAGGAAACGTATGTCCTCGTGCCTCCGAGGTCAGCTCCACAGGCTCATTCATACAGCCTGCCTCACATGCGTATAGTCTAACTGGCTTGTCTTGGAATTTCACAGACACATGCAAGAAGGGCTTTCCTTCAGCATCCAACAGAACAGCTAGATTAATCAAGTCCTTATTGTAATGGATCCCACGTAAGGAATAGCTGTTATGAAGTACATCAGGGTCAGCCTGAAACTGAAGATGGTTTTCTGTGAACTGCAGACCCCCAAAACTAAGCACCATTCCCTGCATAAGTCCATGGACTCCAGCTGCCACAAGACCCTTGCATCCTCGTTTCTGGAGAGTCAGCTTCCACAGGTCAGACAGCTGCAAGATCTGGGCGACACTGGTCAGCTTTGCTGGCCACAGGTTCTCTGCATGCATGGTCGCGTGGCCACTGAAGCAGTGGTCAGCATAGTTCAAGCTGGCTTCCATTTTTTCTCTGTCCTCACCACTAATGAGCGGATCTAGCAGAGGAGCTGGCATGCTTGACAGCACGTAGTAGAGGGTCATGTTAACAGTCTCACTGGATGGTGTATGCGAATCTGTGATCTTTCTCATTTCAACCCCTGTGATAAAAGAAAACAACCAACGGTCAGAGGATCACATGTGGATAAGACATTAACTAGGAGAAAAAAAAAAGATCAAATGTGCATGTTGTCGTTCAACATGCAGATGTTCTTTATAACATCTAAGAAACCTTTGCCTATGAAACACCAAAGTGAAATGTTTCCTTGTATCTTCTTAGATGCTCTCTGTGCTACTCAGAGTTTGAATGCCAAGCTCCCATTAAAGGCAAAGCTAGTTTGATACACAGATACCTTATGGAGCTGTCACCATGACTCCGCAAGAATGGTCTGTCAGAGGAACATCTGTCTTTTTACTAGCTAGAAAACAGCAAGTTCTGCATTACTTGGGCAGCTACTCTTCTATGCAAGGCCATTAAAATCTTAAGAAAAAGGATCTTGTAGGACAGTCCTTTACTCTCATGAAGAAATCTGTCCTTTATACTGTCACTAGAGGTCAAGTCTATTTCCAACTTGGAGATGGCATGCTGGGCAAATCAGTAAAGTTCCTGAAGACACGAAAGCCAGCACCTCCAGACTTATGATTAGAAATGTTCTTCTATAATTTCCTTTATGCAGTAAGGAACTCTACTTTTGTAAAGTACGCTGGGTTCCAAATCAGGAACACTCTTTTATTATTTCACAACATGCCTT